AAAATAAAATAAATAATATATATTAATTAAAATCTTCTTTAAATGATAATAAAATAAAAAGTAATAATAACAAAAGGACAAAAAAAAAAACAAAAAACCATTAAAAATTTATCTTGAAGCCTACTTAGGGGTGTCAATGGTAACCCATAGGGGTGTCATTAGCCTCCCCCATAACATAATATTTAAAAAAACAAGGGATGGTACATTTAACACATTTATATTTTTTATAATTATACTTGTTACATTATAATCTCCAATTTTTATCAAATTAATCATAGTTTAATGGAAAAACAAGTCAACATTCAACCACTGTTAATAATTTATATTATGTATTTAATTAAAAAGTTTGATAAAAATAACACTATTGTGTTTTCGTCTATTCATCTGGACATAATATATCTAGCTAAAATTGTATGTATCCATTATTGTCTTTCCATCTATTTAACCGAACACAGTATATCTAGCTAAAACTATGTGTAAACGTAATATATCTAGCTAAAAGTGTATGTACGTACCCATCATCGTCTGAGTTCAATACGTCCACAATACGTCCACTTCTTGTTTCTAAGCATCCAAAGTAAGTCGAATGGGATCATGAGTACAACAAATGAAATTTAGCACAAACACTTGACTATAAAAAGATAATTAAATAGTTGTTAGTTTTGATGCTAAAGGTGTAGCTTCTTATAATTACCAATATTGTAAACTTTTTTAAGTTTTTTTACAAGAACTTTGGTTCTTACGCTGAATTTGATTTAAAATGACAATCTGCTAGTTTTTATATATATTCATTTATAAATATATAATAACTATTGATGTTGAGAAAAAACACGTAAGACCCACAAAAAAGTTCTTAGAAGAATTACCATTGTTAATTTAATGTGAGTTCTTAATTTAATAAGTTAGAAATTATGTAACAACAAAATGTACAAAAAATATGTTCTTATAAAAACCTCCATCGAAGATGCTCCTAAGTTTAAGCATTTTAAAAAATATAAAAACATGAACTTGTTTCAAAAACGAACGACCAAATTTTTTCTCAAACCAAAGATCGTGATATAAATATAAACCTTTTACAATCGTTGCAAAGAATATTTTTGTTTTATTGAAGAAAAAGCAAGGCAAAATAAGAAAATACAAAATACAATATATATTGATTTTATATACTATTTATTTAAATGTATAAAACATAATCATATCTTATCATAGACCCAACCAGTGTTTTAAGAGCATCTCTATTGATTTAAGAGTTTTTTAGTCTAACTATGACACTTCTTCTATAAAATAAAATAAAAAAACTTCTACAAAATAAAAATAAAAGACTATAGGAAATCTAAACTTAAAGAAATCTTAAAACTGAGGGAGAGAGAGATTGTTTTCATTGTTTTTGTCAATGACTCAATGTGGTTCAATGTGCTATAATTTTTTTTTTATAAATTCTATTATGATAATAAATATATAAAATATTTTAATAATATGATTAATGTTGAAATCTCTAAAATAGAATAGCTGTTAGAGTTGAATGTAATTCTTTTAAAGATTTTAAGTTTTGATAATCTATTTTAAAAAAATTAAAACATTTCAAACAACTATATTAAATAGATATTTTAGAGCATTTTATGTTCCAACTTCCAGGAGCATGCTATGGTATATACTAAAAAAACAAGAAATCTCCGAACTTGGAGAGATTTCTAAAACTTATTATAAAAAAAAGAGATATCTTATTTAAATTGTTTTTACAAGTTAAATTGCATGTATTATAATTTTTTCAGAAGGTTTTTTTTTTAAAGTGTAATAATATGAAAATTTTATAGAATATTTTTATAATATATTTTTATAGTATTTAAAAATAAAGTAGTTCTTAGAGTTATTGTTAGATATAATTTTTAAAAAATGACTTTAAATACACTATTTTGAAAAAATTAAATAGTAATCCTCTGAATATTGATTTATATATTTCTTCACTGTAACCATGGGTACAAAAATATATCATTGATTTATTGATGTATATTGAAATTGAAGGCGTGGGACTAGATATAATAAATGATTTACGCTACGTATAAAGCAGTGGACGACGTTTCAAATCAGAATACATTAAACCCTACACTTCAACCACCCTCTATGACTCTCAAAGGATTGTGGGCCAGGTGTTGACATTTAGCCATCAATATGTGCTGTGCAAAGTTCCAAACAATTAGAATATGAAAGTAAACTCCCAAAGACAACTGGAATTTCGTTTCACATGAGAAGCAATTATATGTATATATATATATATATATATATATATATATATATATATATATACCAACAGTTTTTTTCCTTTCTTAACGAAAGATGAAAGAATGTTGAAAACTAATGGGGATTTTAGTCAAGGGTTTGTCATTCACGGGTGAATTCCATTCATATCCTCTCATACGAGGTATAAATGAAATAGAAACTAGGTGTACTATTCATATCCTTCCTCCTTCACATGTCACCTATTTCTTACCCCTACCTTGTTTACATACCCAATTCATCTTAGTCGAATACATGACCTTTTGATCGGCATGAAGCCATACTTATTTTAACTATCATGAATGTGATGGATTTAAATGAAATCACGTTTTAAGTTACAGGATTGAGTTCTAATGTAAAGGAGAGTTAAGATATGAAGCGTATGGAAGGATTTTCACCCTTTGATGCAC